TCCTTGTCCCTAGTGACCAAAAGATTTCAACTCATAATAATTTGTGCCATGTTACACACAACTTTTGATCATTTAGGGATGGACTGTGGACTGTCTAAATGTTGGAGCTCTTTGGTGCCTTCATTTCTCCTCCTTGTCCTTCCCACTACTGCTGTATCTGCCATTTTGCCAGCATCTCTTTCAGAGGCCATATAGAGGAAATGAAACACACATTGGTTAATTTGACACTTATTAGCACCCCTCCAAAGGGTTTTATTAGGACAATGGGAACTAGTGAAATGACTTGTGGGGATTATCTGTGGTTCATGCCAACCCTGTTTCCAGAATCATGTGCACTCTGTAGTTGGCTCTGTTTTGAAATAACTTCTATTAGTTATCTCATTAATCCAATAAGGTAACTCATGAAATCAAATAAATACCAGCTGCTTCTTTAAAAAGAAATCTTTGTACCTCTCAAAAAATGAGAGCTATTGAAATGTGAGGTAGAAAAGACTACAGGGTATTTCAAGGTGATTGTAGTTTTGTTTGGATCCTATTTACCAGTTGCAAGTTGACCCGCTGAAAGGAAAATTAACTACATTAGGATTCAGCCACAAATGTCAGCCATGTCTTCAAGCAAGTGGTTTAAAGCTCACAGATTTCAGTTCCCTCATCTGTAAAATAAGAGAATCGGACAACATTAATTCTAAGGTCTGCTCCAGGCCTAAAATTCTGTTTCCCTCCGGGAATTCTGGAAAACCTAAGCCCCAACCTTGCTGATGCATTTTGATAAATTAGGATTAAAAAATACTAGGGGTAGCCGTAAGAGAGAATCATCAAAAAAAAAAAAAAAAAAATTCAACATTGATGCCCCTTCCAGGCCTAAATTTTTGGCCTGCTTCCCAAAACTTCCCTCTACCTCCATCTCTTTACCTAACTCCTCACTCCATATTCTTTTAAAATAAAAAGGCAACGAAGAAACTGCAAGTGTCTGGCTTGAATTATTAGCTTCCTTAAATTCAACGTGCCTATTGTAGAAAGGAGTTTAACATGGAGTGGGCGACTGAACTACAGGAACTCCAAGTACCATTTCAACACTCACTTTCTGATTTGAAAATGTGATATTAATTATACAAAAGAGCCAGTGCAGAGAACCCCTATAGACCCAGGTCACAAACTTGTAGTTTATCAGCCCACAGTATCTTTTGTTTGCCACACAAGTGATTTACATTTCCTTTGAGTTTGGTTGTCAGCATTTAAAACATAAAGATTTTGCATAAAAAAATTCAGGTGTTCAGTGTCTATTTCATCTGGCAGAGCTGATGAAGGTGGGCTCAACTCCCCACAGTTCCCCAGTGCTCCAGGGGCTGCCCCTTCAGGCAAAGCACGTGCTCCCCCTTCAGGCCGAGTAGGTGCAGCCCTCCTAGTATACCGTAGTCCACACCCTGCTATAGCCTCATTCATTCCCCCTGCCCTGCCCTGTGCAGAGGGGAGTTGCAGATGCTTGACTTACTGGCTCCTCAAGGAACACCCACGGTCTTCAGACCACCACTGAAGAATCACTGTTCTGGAAAAAAAAAAAAAAATCACTGACCTTTCAGAAAATACATCCTGAGAATTATCCAATCAAAAGTTAGAGTTTCTTTGGGGAGGTCTGTGCTTATTTAATGATGTTTTAAAAACAAAGAAAAGAAAAAAGCAAAACAGCAATCTGAACATCAATGACAGCTATTCGGTAGGTGAGATGCTATTTTTGTTTATTCTAATGAACACTCTGTGTTCTAATGAACATCTAATGAGCATTCTGCAGATGCTCACCTCTCTGGAAGAAAAAGAGAGGGAAAAAAAACCCCAGAGGTGGAGTACTACTTAATCAGACTACTCTCTGATAAAAGAATGACTAGTGGTCCTGGTCTCTCATTACCCCCGTATAGATGCAGGGATTGGGCAATCCTTTTTTTTTTTTTTAAACAACTTTGTTGAGATGTGATTCATATCCCATAAAATCTGACCTTTCAAAACATACAATTCAGTGGTTTTTAGCATATTTGCCAAGTTGAGCAGCCATCATCACTATCTAATTGCGGAATGTTTTCACCACGGCAAAAGGAAACCCTGTCCCCATTAGCAGGCACTCCTCGTTCCAATCTCCCGTTCCCTCAACCATAGGCAAGCACTAATCTACTCTCTATCTCTAAGGATTTGTATATTTTGAATATTTTATATAATCGGAATCATATGATCATAAGTAGCATTTTGTGTCTGATTTGTTTCAATCAGCATAATGTTTTCCAAGTTCATTTATTTTGTAGCAGGCAATAGTACTTTCATCCTTTTTATAGCCAAATCATATTCCATTGTACAGATAAACCACATCATGTTTATCCATTTTCTCATCTGATGGACATTTAGGTTGTTTCTTTTTGGCTATGATAAAAAATGGCACTGTGAACATTTGTGGACAGGTCATTATGTGTATATATGTTTCCATTTTTCTTGGATTTATACCTAGAAGTGAAATTGCTGGATCATATGGTAATTCCATATTTAACTTCTGGAGGAACTGCCAAATTATTTTCCTCAGTGACTGAAAATTTATATTCTCTTCAGCAATATATGAGAGCTTCAATTTCTCCACATTCTCAAGAACATATGTTATTATATTATCTATCTTTTTTAGTTTAATCATCCTACCAGGATCTCACTATGGTTTTAATTTCTATTTCCTTGATGACATATGACTCTGAGTATCTTTTCATGTGATTATTAGCCATTTGCATATCTCCTTTGAAGAAATGTCTATTCAAACTCTTTTTTTTTTTTTTTTTTTTTTTTTGAGACGGAGTCTCGCTCTGTCGCCCAGGGTGGAGTGCAGTGGCACGATCTCGGCTCACTGCAAACTCCGCCTCCCGGGTTCACGCCATTCTCCTGCCTCAGCCTCCCCAGTAGCTGGGGCTACAGGCGCCCACCACCACGCCCGGCTAATTTTGTTGTATTTTTAGTAGAGACGGGGTTTCACCATGTTCGCCAGGATGGTCTGGATCTCCTGACCTTGTGATCCGCCCGCCTCAGCCTCCCAAAGTGCTGGGATTACAGGCGTGAGCCCACTGCGCCCGGCCTCAAACTCTTTGCCCATTAAAAAAATTTGGTTATTTGTCTTTTTATTGTTCGTTTTAAGAGTTCTCTATATATTCTGGACACAAGCCCCTTATCAGATATATGATTTGCAGATATTTTCTTCCATTCTGTGAATTTTCTCCTCATTTCTTAATAGTGTCTTCAAAAGTTTTGATTTTCATGACGTCCAACATCTATTTTGTATTTTGTCACTTATGCTTTTACTGTCATGTCCAGGAAATCATTACATAATGCCAGATCACACAGAATTACTCCTGCATTTTCCTTTCTGTCTTTCTTTTTTTTTTTTTTTTTTTGGTGAGACGGAGATTTTCTCTTGTTGCCCAGGCTGGAGTGCAATGGTACGATCTTGGCTCACATTCCATCCTCCTCCTCCCAGGTTCAAGCGATTCTCCTGCCTCAGCCTCTAGAGTAGCTGGGATTACAGGTATGTGTCACCACGCCTGGCTAATTTTGTATTTTTAGTAGAGACGGGGTTTCACCGTGTTGCCCAGGCTGATCTCGAACTCCTGACCTCAAGTGATCCACCCGCCTCGGCCCCCCAGAGTGCTGGGGTTACAGGCGTGAGCCGCTGCGCCCGGCCTTACTCCTGCATTTTCTTCTAAGAGTTTTATAGTTTCAGCTTTGACATTTGGGTCTATGGTCTATTTTTAGCTAGTATTTGTCTACAGTGTGAGACAGGGCCATGCAGTCCATTTTTAATAGTTAAGAACTTGCTTCCTTTCACTTATGTTCCAGCCTGTGCTTTATTAAAGAATATAAAAATATGAGAATGTAATCCCAAGAAACAATAAGCTTTGCTTGGATTCTCGATGTAGTACCATCCAATTCCCTTCACACATTATAGTGTAACACAGGCCAACTAGATAAAGTTTTCCTTTGTAGAAGAGTAGACTAAACTGTGGTTTGATGACTATGTGACATATTCTAGAGTTCAGATACAAGATCCAAAGTAATGTGGCAGTGATGCCTGGAGCCCTGGCCATCCCCGTGTCATCCCCAGTGTCTCACCAGAAGACTGGGTCCTGGGAAACTGCTCCTCCTGGAGACTTCCTTTTAATTACAATGCACACATGTATATGTACACATTATATACATGGACACACATATATACCTATATGTACATATACATATGTGTATGTATATATAAACCCAATTCCTAATTTTTGAAATTTATAAAATGTTAAAACATGTAACCACCATTTGTGTTGGCATCCCTAGACTCCCTCCACTGCCCCATTGCCAAATTTTTCTTTTCCAATGAGTCATTGTAAAAAAAAATTTTTTCATAGATTCTGTAGATGAAAAAGTGAAGAACAGGATGAAGTAACATGCGAAGATATCTGAAGGCAGAAGATATAAGGGACAGACTCAAGCAGGGTCCCAACTGGAGAGAACAAGCTTTCCCAACCACCCAGGCAGAGAAGCCCTTCTTTATCTGTGTCCCTATGCTACTTGCACACACTTCTAGTGTAGCATGCACTGGGATCATTTGTTGGCAGTGGTGTCTTCCCCTACAACCTATATGCTCCTCAAAGGCAAGAAGTCCATCTTATTTATTTTTGTATCTCATCCTGTCTAGTGTCCCTTGTGGCACCAGAGACCTAGTAAGCACTAAAAAAAATGCTGGCTTAATAAACGTTTACGGAGCGTAAGTGGAAGGAAATCTTTTCTTTCCTGTTTGCCCGAATAATATAGGATCTATAGCACAGGCTCCTACTTATAAAGCCCATAGAAATCCTGGTGCTCCCATAGCCCAATCCCAGTATAGAGTTCTAGTCAAAAAATGCCATCTAGCAAGAAAAAGTAGTTTAAAAAAATTCTAATTTCCACTTGAATCTCTTGAAAGACACTGTCTTAGTTCATTTTGTTTTGTTCTAAAGGAAAAACTGAGTCTGTAATCTGTCAAGTAAAGAAGCTTACTTGGCTCGTGCTTCTGCAGGCTGTACATGAAGCCTCGTACCAGCATCTGCATCTGGTGAAGTCTTGCTGGTCAGACTGCTTCCGCTCAAGGCAGGAGGTGAAGGAAAGCCAGCTCTGTAGAGCTCACAGGGTGAGAGAGGAGGAAAGCGGGAGGGAGGAGGGCCAGGCTCTTTCTAACAACCAGCTCTGGTGGGAAGAAGGGACTAATACAGTGATGATTCAATCATCCCCAGGGAGGGCACAAGACTGTTCATGAGGGATCTGTCCCCATGGCCAAACACCCCCATTAGGCCCCACCTCCAACATTGGGATTAAATTTTAACCTGAGGTTAATGGGGGACAAACATTCAAACTATAGCAAACATTAAAAAGAATTAAACTCATAACCTACTATGACATCTGTAAACATGTTCCATTTGCTTCCTCTCCAGTTTTCTCTTATCTTGAAGCTCTTCTTGATCCTCTCTCTCTCTGAACTGCTTCCTCCTAACTCTCTCCTGGAAGTTCTTCTGGGCACTCCATTCTCCCATGCTCTCCTGCCTCATGCCTCACCACAGGGCCTTTCCTGCTGGCCACAAAACCCGCCTGGCCCAGGACAGTAGAAGGCTGTGTGGCCTCTTTGCTTGGAGACAGTTGGGTCCCCACCTCCATCCACAGGAAGTATAGTTTTTTCCTTATCCTGCTTTTCTCCCCAAAAAAAAATCATAAATAATTTCTGGAATTCTATTCTTTGTTAATATTACTTGTTATCTCATGAGTTAGATAGACTTTATGAGAGACCTTGAAACTTGACTGCCATTTAAAACATGGTTTCTGTGGGAAAGGCTACCATACATACTGAACAGCTGATTTACAAGCCAACTTTTGGAATACAACTTATTCATAAGCTGGGAGCCATCTGGGTGGTAACTAGCTTTGTGGTTTCTTACTCTTCTTTTGGTTTCATGATTTTGAATGAGGTTTGGTCAAAGTTAAAATGGAGGAAACATTTCCTACTAATTCATTGGTATTTTCGTGAACCTTGGAATCTGGCAGAAGTAAATATTTCTGGAGAAATACGGACTTCAGGATCGTAAGATGATTTCTAAGGGATTTCTCTTATGTAATCGAGCAAATTAACATCTCAGGCTGGAGTATTTAGGATTCAGTTACGAGAAAGAGAAAAGTGAATTCAGAGAAATTGTTAATCAAGATAAATGTTGAAAGGCGGAGAAGCAAGGGATAAAGAACACTGCATTCTGTCTGACCTGCTTACGGAAGCAGGTCTTCTCTTGTTTTTGACACTGGTCTTAGTAAGCTCCTCTTCCCTTTGTGCTCCCTACTGCTAGGGAAGTATCTTTCCCCATGAGACCAACATCACTCGCCCATGCTTTTGAAGCCAAGAGCAGCGGGATGCCACTAGCAAGACCCTGCATCAATCAGAGCTCCAGTCCCTGCTTTTGTTGCCTTCTCTGAGGTGAGGCAGCAGTAAAGCATGGACCAGAGTCATTCTGCATCAGTGTCCTGGCTCCATCCCTAACAAGCTGCATGAGCTCAAGCAAGCTATTGACCTCTCCCTGCTTAGTTTCCCAACAAACCAAGCGGAAAGTAGCACCTGCTGAATTGCCAAGAACAGTGCTTCTCAACCCAGGCACTTCCCTAGAGGGAATGGCAGGAGACCCACAAATGCCAACAGCTCCCCCAGAGTCATCATCTTGCCTATCTCCTCACCAAATTTCCTCGGCACCCTGACCAATTTCTACCACTTTTACTCTCTCTCTCTCTCTCTCTTTTTTTTTTTTTTAATTTGAGACGGAGTCTTGCTCTGTCTCCCAGACTGGAGTGCAATGGTGCGATCTCAGCTCACTGCAACCTTCACCTCCCAGGTTCAAGCGATTCTCAGTAGCTGGGATTACGGGCACCCGCCCCCACGCCCAGCTAATGTCTGCATTTTTAGTAGAGACAGGGGTTCACCATGTTGGCCAGGCTGGTCTTGAACTCCTGACCTCAGGTGATCCACCTGCCTTGGCCTCCCAAAGTACTGGGATTGCAGGTGTGAGCCACCATGCCCGGCCACCACTTTTATTCTTGGAGCAGATGTCAGAGAGGCCACTTTCTTTGGAAATCGTCTCCTGCTCCCTTTCATATCTAAAATCTCTTATTGTATTGGTGTCTTATCGCTACTGTAACAAATTACCCAAAATGTAGTGGCTTAAAACAGCATAATTTTGTTATGTTTTATAGGCCAGAAGTCCAAGTCTTATAGGCTAAAAGTCCAAAATGGATCTTACCAGGCTTAACTCAAAGACTACATTCCCCTGAAGGCTCTAGGGGAGCCTGTTTCCTTGCCTTTTCCAGCTTCTAGAGCCACCTTTGCTTGTGGCCACAGCATTTCAGCCTTTGTCTCTGTCCTCACATCTCTTTCTCTGACTGACCCTTCTTATGGGGACCCTTTTGAGTACATTAGGCCCTCCTGCATGATCCAGGGCCATCTCCCCATCTCAAGACCCTTAACTTGGTTGGGCATGGTGGCTCACACCTGTAATCCCAGCACTTTGGGAGGCCGAGGTGTGTGGATCACGAAGTCTGGAGTTTGAGACCAGCCTGACCAACATGGTCAGAAAAAAACCCTTAACTCAATTCCATCTGCAAAGTCCCTTTTACCATGTAGTTCTAGAGACTAGCACGTGGATGTGTTTGGGGGACCATCATTCAGCTACCATGTGTGTCTTGGCATCACAGTAAAAAATGAGGCAGATTCTTAGTACTGAGTTTAAGAAAAATAATAATAACGAGGCAGAAAGAGTTCCATTTGACATTTCCATTGGAGGTATTTCCAGTGTTTCCAGCATCGGTTGCCTGGGATGATGCCACTAAACATGATAGGAAATTGAGGTCGGGGCAAACTAGGGGTGGGGGCCGGTGTGACTACAGCGTGCTTATTTGTTGGTATGTTGTATTTGAGGTCCCTCCAGGAGATCAATGTGGAGATGTCTACAGCAGTTGGAAGAACAGGTCTGCAGCCCGGGAGAAAAGCCTGGGCATGGATGGAAATGTGGAGTCATTGACAGACGATACAGTTGAAGCCGTGGGGGTGCCTAAGATCACCGAGAAGGAAGATGGGGAGGGCAGGGAGGAAGCGCCAGGAGTGCAAGGTGTCTGGGGAAGAAGAGTAAGGTCAGAAAGCATAGGACTTTTAGAGAGGCCAAAGGAAAATGAAGAATAATTATAAAAATAATGATATCCTGCATATTAGTAAAGTGAAACTTCATTTGATCGTATCTTGCTTATTACATACATAGGGAAAACTCACTCATTTTATTTATGGTTACATTTTTCAGTATGTCACATTTACAAAACTGACCAAGTGAGAATTTGTTGTAGTACTGAGTGCCCATGGTGGACCAGTCAGTGTCAGTGTTGAGGATATGAAAATGAATCAGCAGGGCCTTTGTGCTCACTTATTCAACCCACAGGATAAGACCAAGAGTATCAGAGAAGTAACCTCCTCTGAGAAGCAGACCACTACTCTGGTGGACAAGGAGATCCAGCTTACCATGTAGACACAGAATATCCTCTGTTCATGGTATTTGCCTTTAATCGCTTTTTCTTTATCTATTGAAGATGTTAAGATACTGGCTCTTCTCTCCAGTATTAAGAAGACTAATTAATAATAATAATAATAAAAGTCCATGTCACCATAGCCAAAACAGAAAACAGAGCAGAAACTTGGTGAAGTTAATCAAATAATTGCTGCAGGCCCTTGGCTATGGAGAACTCTCCCTGCTTTTGGTTGAGCAAGAGAGCCTCTCAGAGCCTGGCACTGGGATTCACACAGCGTTCCCTTCCAGGGCCACAGGGTCCCAGCAGCAGCACCACACAGCATTTGAGCTCCAGTCCTCTAGGCTTTCAGCCATGGCACCCTTTGTTTGTTTTTCCCCAAAGCAAAGTGCTGCCTGGCAGCTGAAAAGAGTGCATGTTTCCTCCTTCTCAATCCGGCTTCTTATATAGCTGTGCTATATTTGGCAGCTCAATCTTACTTCCTGTTCCAAATGCTTCCTCTTCCTGTGGGTAGAATTCTCAGAACTCTCGTGGCTCTGGTAGGTGTTATCAAAAACTTGTGCAAGGCCACTTGGTGGTACAGTCTGTGCTCCACAGAGCCACCTCCTAGCTCAGTGACTCACCTGTGCCTGGAGGACACAGGGGGTGAACTCTTCAAGAAGGAACAGAGAGTTCCAGGACACCTCTCACTTGAATTGTGATGAAGGTTTATTAATGAACAAAAAGCAGAGGGAGATTGGAATTTGTGGGGATGAGGTGGCGAGAGAGGTTTGAAAAGGCAGATGAGACTTTAAGGCCCAAAGGCAAATACAATTTACTCCTCAAAGAAAAAGTAGTAATTATTTGTTTAAGATCTATCTTCCCCTGTAGGCTGTAAGAATCATGAGAACCATGAGAGGCCATGCCATTTTTTGTGCATTGTTTTAACTCTAGTGTAGTGCTGGCTGGTGTTACAGTCGGTGCTTAATTAATGACTATTGAACAAATGAATAAATGAATGAATGAAGGCAGAAAGAGGCATGAGCATTGAAAAGTAATCCTTTAAAAACTTATGTTGGTATACGGAAAGAGAAAGAAAAACTGTATATATGTTAATAGTGTTTATTCTGAGTGGAGGGATTAGAGAGTATTCTAATTGTTTTCCTTTTATGATTTTCTGTTATAGTCTCATTTTCCTATAATTATTTCTCATGCTTGTTTAATAGAAATATTTTAAAGTAAGGATTCAAAATTTAAAAAGCCTGGAAGGAAATATATAACTTTAGAGCAGCTTTTGTGCTGGGCATAAAATTGTAGAGTTTTATTTTATTTTCTGAATGTTCTATTGCTTTCATCATCTGAGAACACTTTTGAAATGAACAAGTTAGTTAGTCACCATGGCAGGAGAGCACTATTGTAGGAGGGCTGGGATCCCAGAACTCAGTGATCATGAAGAAAATGTCAAGTTAAAGAGAAGAAGGTGATGTATATAACGGCCTATCTTTTGATATATATATATATATATATGTCCATAGGAATTTTATTTTTGAAATGCCCCTTGGAAACACCTGTCACATTCACCAGAAGCTAAATTGGTCCTGCATAATTTCTTCTTTCCCACTTCTGAGAGGCTATGTCTCTGACTTTGTTCACAGTTAAGGATAATTTTTTTTTTTCATTGACTGAGATGAGACATAGATTTCTTATGCTTCTTTCAAATGAAAACTTATAAACACCAGCTATTTGGGGATATTTTACAATTGCACAGATAGGAAAATCAGAACACAAAATATCATTGTTGTACAGATGCTATGCAGACCTGTGCGGGTGGCTCTATGACACTTATGGATTAATGGGGAGTTTTGTCAAATAAATTGATTTGTAATCTGATGGAGAAACACTTTGAGCTGTATTTGGTTTGATTAAGGTGGAACCTAGTTTAGACTACAGACAACCTGGTCTACAGACAACCTGGTCAGAGTCAGCCTCCTAGATAAAAACCCCAGGGCCTCCTTCAACCTCTGGTGACCAGAACAGTGCGAAGTGTTACTGCAGCAGTAGCCACTCCAATCCTATTAGCTCTACCAAATAGGGAGATAGGCAGGGAAATTCTCCTGGTGCAAAGCTATCAGCTGTAGCTCAAGGGTTAATTACTACCATGATGTTGGGGATAATAGAATGGATGACACAGCAGAGTGTGTGTGGTCTGTGTGTGTCTGTGTGTGTAGGCTATTTGAATACATTTGGGGTACTAGCTTTTGATTCAGATCGTAACATATTTGGATGGTTGGAAACAAAACAACAGGGAATTAAAATGTGAGAATACTAAAGCACCTTAAGGAAGGAACTGGAAAAATGTCTCCCTTCAAAGACAGCAGATTTACATGCACACATGCGCGCACACGCGCGCGCGCACACACACACACACACACACAAACTAGGTGCCAGTAAAAAAAGAAAAAAAAAGCATGACTTCTCTCCAAAAACAACCCATACAAACTCTAAAAGGGCATCCTTCAATTTTCTGCCTCCACTCCAGGACAAATAGTCCCTCAGCAGCCCCTTGCATAAGGGGATCTCTCTGATTGGCCTGCTGAGCAGGGATACCTGGCTCCTAGAGTCCTGATGCTGGCTACCGTCAAATCAGTGCTGTTTGTGGGCGCTCATCTCCCTTCTTGGCAGGAGAAAACCTGGAGAGGAGGCGACAGGGTGGAGAAAAATCCAGTACAGGGGGTGAATGGTGAACATAAAGGAGAAGCTGTTACCCTCTCCAGGCCAAAGAGAACTGCTGTAGAAATGCTACGCTGTGACCAAGCAGCAGGGATTATGAGGTATACAGAGACATTTTTTTAACTTGTGTAATATTTAGTTACATGACTTTGGTGGTCTAAAGCCTGTCTGTGCTTTGTTCTTTTTTTCTGTATCCATCCTTCAACAACCGGATCCTATCAGTTATTCCATTTTAATTTCCATCTTTCACTGAGTTTCAGTATCACTGTGGTTTGTAGGTATTTTAGCCAGATTTAGTGCTTTTTTGTGATATTCAGAAACTGTCTATAAGTCTCAGGAAGCTGAGACAATGAACACATCACAACTATAATTTCCCTTGGCTTGGTTCTACTCAGTTATTCCTTTTCACTTTGTGCTGCTCAAATCCCCATCCAGATGCACTATTGTGTGTTTAGGACATATAAAATACCACTGGAGCTGCTTCTATTTGTACTTTATTCACACAGTGACATGACACATGAAAGAAGAGTGGTAAATGGTCGGTGATAACTGAACTGGGGTCAGATTTATTAGACTATTTTTAACATATGAATTCAAAAATAGTATTTGAACAAATAAGTATCTAAAATTTGCACTTACCTGTTGGAAAAGCTAAGACTGGAGCACCTTCCACTGAAAGTGTAGAAGTGTTAGGCTTGGAATAAGGGGTAACGGTACCTTTAAAGGAGATTATAGGCCAGGCATGGTAGCTCATGCCTGTAATCCCAGCACTTTGGGAGGCCAAGGTGGGCAGATCGCTTGAGCCCAGAAGGTGAAGACCAGCCTGGGCAACGTAGGAAGACCCCGTCTCCACAAAAAAAATAGAAAAATTAGCCGGGTGTGGTGGTGCACACATGTAGCCCCAGCTACTCGGGAGGCTGAGGTGCAAGGATCACTAGAGCCCAGGGAGGCTGAGGCTACACTGAGCCACTACTGCGCCACTGCACTCCAGTCTGGGCAACAGAATGAGTTCCTGTCTCGAAAAGGAAAAAAAGGAGATGATAATAATAATGTGTTAATTCTGAAAAACTGATAATTTATGTAGACTTCTTTCAAAGAGAAAAGCGTTAAATAAAAATAAATCTTGAGATACCTGTTACCCAATGATACACTCAAAGGCTGAAGTCAAAATATGTTTTCCGCATTTTCTTCCATGATTGCTGAATGGTTTTGTGTTTTAGGAATGCATGTTCTGAGAAAGGTTATTGAGAAAGTTTTAAAGATTCAACCTATGTAAATGGTTGAGAAGTGACTCACCAATCTTTTCTTTCTACAATCTAATCTGCCTGGTAAAAATAAAAGTAAATTGTAAACATGTTTTATAAGACCTGTTCCATGCTTTAACCATAAAATGTTCCACGGAATATAAAACATAAAAATTTTCCATGTTTTAACTGTAGAAAAATTCACAGGAGCTGCAACCCATATGAACTTGTCTTAAATCACTTTTGTACTTGGATCTTTTGCAAATTGCAGAAGGCACATTGCTGGCTGCAACTTTGGATAAACCACGCATTCCATTTCAAGATGGCTGTTTAATCTTTCTCAGACTTGACAATGCTCAGGCAATTCTCACCATAAAGTTCATTCGTCTCAGGCTGCCACTTTCCTGTGGCTACCATCACTTCTACATGTTGCATTTTCGATTCACACCGTGCCAGGTGGAGCTGAGTCCCTGCTTTCTTTCTTGCCCAGGGGTTTTGTGACAAAAAGCTGAATGTGATCCAGAAAGCAATAACATGTTGTATACCTAAAACACTTGGGTGTCTTTAAAGGTCACTGTTGCTTCTGCAGGTACCTTCAGTATTTGTAAGGGGAAAACATGAAATACAGGTTTTGCTTTCTATGGGAATGTGCAGGAAGTAAAAAAGCATCCATTTCTTGAGTGTTCTCTGAATAGATAAGGAAATATGAGTGATTCACAGTGAACCTTATTTCCTAAAGCATTTCAAACATATTTAAACAACAAAAAGATGAACAATGAAGAAATATATACCATTTGGATAAGTCCTTCTGTAACAGGTTCTCTTAATTTTTATAAATGTAGAGTCTACAAGTTGGAGGACATACATTATATTCTTGTCCACAGAATTTGTACGTTACCAGTATTTGGTAAGAGAACACCCCATAACTTATATGGTTGTCCTGAAGTTTAGGTAATTTTGTTTTAAATACCATTTACTGAATGCTCTAGTCATACCTACAGTCTAAGGGAAAGGTTGGCACATTATGATTGGTATACCTAGTGCAGCTCACTGCTGTTTTGTAAATAAAGTTTTATTGGAACATAGCCAACCTCATTTGCTAATATATTGTATATACCTGTTTTCACACTACAATGGTAGAACTGAATAGTTGCATCAGAGAAAGTAAGGCCCACAGGCCAGGCGTGGTGGCTCACACCTGTAATCCCAGCACTTTGGGAGGCTGAGGTGGGCAGATCACAACGTCAGGAGATTGAGACTATCCTGACTAACATGGTGAAACCCCCATCTCTACTAAAAATACGAAAAAAAAAAAAAAAAAAAAAAAGCTGGGCTATGGTGGCCCAGTTCCTATTAGTCCAGCTTACCTGCGGCCGACTCGGGAGGAGAATTGCTTAAACCAGGAGGGTGGAGGTTGCAGTGAGCCACATCCCGACCCGTGCACTTCAGCCTGAGGTGAACAGAGCGATACTCTGTTTCAAAACAAAAAACCCAAAAAATAAGAAGAAGAAAGAACAAAGCAAGAAGAAAGTAAGGCCCACAAAGCCTAAAATACCTTACTCTTGTGATTTTTTTTTTTTTCTTTTTTTTTTTTTTTGAGACAAAGTCTTGCTCTGTTGCCCAGCTGGAATGCAGTGGCACAATCTCGGCTCACTGTAAACTCCACCTCCTGGGTCTTCAAGCGATTCTCCTGCCTCAGCCTCCCTAGTAGCTGGGATTACAGGTGCCCGCCACCACGCCCGGCTAATTTTTTTGTATTTTTATTCGAGACGGGGTTCACCATGTTGGCCAGGTTGATCTCGAACTCCTGACCTCGTGATCCGCTCGCCTCACTCTCCCAAAGTGCTGGGATTACAGGCATGGGCCGCTGCACCCGACTACTCTCTGATCTTTTGCAGAAAAAGTTTGCTGACCCCTGTCCTAAGTTATTAAAATTTTAGGACTAAAAATATGTATACTGTCTCTGTATTTGTATGATTACATAAATGCATATGTATATACCTATATGTAGCTACATACGCATATATATGTACGTATGGTCTACATACACATATGTAAATATATAAATATGTGTATAAGCATATAGATACACATGAGTATATGTGTGTTTACATGTATATATGTGCATGTATATGTACATGTGCCTATGTGTGTGCACATGCACAAGATTAATTGAATTCTAAGCAGGCCATCGCTAGGGAATGGTATCTTTAATTACACCTGAAAAACAGTCAAGGTCTACAGCCCCTTTCCTGAACATACTGACTGGCTCTCCTCCATTTAAGTGGTAAATGATGCCTGGTCAATATACAGGAATTATGTTCTTTGCCTCCTTCACTTATGGGTCTGTCTCTGGAGAAAGCATTTCTCCAAGGATGTTTATAGCCAAGAACTTGAGTCACTATTTCCTTGCTGCTGGTCCAGCATGCTGAGGAACAACAAAAGCAGCACTGCTGGGGAACTTCAGGGCAGCAGGCTCAGAGCTGGATTCCTTGGTGAGGACCTCGTACTTTTCCACAGAGTTACTCAAGGCCCCACCAAGAACAGAAAGAAAAGCCAGCACGGGAAGAAAAAAAAAGGAAAAAACAGTACAGAAAGAAAATAGAGAGGCTGGCTGTATGTAAAAACATGAACAATGTAGCCCAACATTGTTAACTAATTTTAGTTTGGGAAAAAGAAGCGCTGCATTAATTGTAGATTTAAAATACAGATATAAAACCCTTCAAGCCAGATATTCATGAGTTCACTTATTCATTTAATAAATGACTAATTGAGCATTTACTACGTGTCAGGGACAGGGTTGGGCTCAGGAGATACAACAGTGCACAGGATACAATCCCTGCCCTTACAGACCTGACAGTACAGTCGGGGAGGAAGATGGGTGAACTCTTACACTGGAATGAGTTGTGTGAGTTTTCATGAGTGGTCAGCATAGAGTGCTACAGAGCTAACACGAAGGACGCCCAACCTTCTTGACACCTTCAGTGGTCAGGAAAGGGTTCCTGGAGGAAGCATCCTCTAATGGAGAGTGAAGTGAAAGTAAGAGTTGTCTAGGTGGAAAGACACCAGTAAGAACTTTCTAGGCAAGAGAGCCAATGTGTGCATAGGACTAGACTTGAGAGAGACCATGGTATTGGGGATATGCAAATGGCTCTGGGTGGCTGGGGCCAAGAAGACAAAGGATGAAGGGTGGCAAGGAATTGAGGAAGGCATACTTGAAGCTAAAAATCTCAGTCAGCTGACTGACCTTCTCTCACCACCACCTGATGCTGATGGGCTCAGAGAGGTCCCCAAACACAGGTGAGACCTCGACTCCAGCTGGTGTCCAGGCTCTTGACACTGTTGCAAGAAGGAATTCAATGATGAGTCAGAAAATAGTGAAAGTACACAGATTTGTTGCAGAGGGAAGAGTACACACTCAAGAAAAGGGAATTTTGTTGTAGTCAAGAGTCATGCACAAGGGGGTTTGGAGTTGCTACCTTCATGGGTTTCTTTAACCAAAGCAAGGGGTAGAATATTAATGAAAATTCCTGGGAAAAGGTGGAGATTTTTCAGAATTGTCGTGCCACCCATTTTTCCAGCAGATATAGATGTTCCTGGAACTGTCATGGCACTGGCAGGTGTGTGATTTGTATGTTAATGAGCATATAATAAGGTCCTAGGTGAAACCTAAGTAGGATCCAGCTCCATGTTGGGTCCAGTCAGTCTCAGTCAGCTTGGTCCACATCTGGTTTTTCAGGGTCTTACCAGCCCGTAGCCTCTATTCATGTGAAACTGCTGCATGGAATTTGTATTCTCCTGTAACCACCCTATATGACTCCTGTCTCACATCCAAATCAACATCCCCAAGGTTTCCTATCAGCCTTCATTTGATCTCCCAGATCAATTAGGAGGAACGAACACTCTGATTCAGTGCTATGTGGAGTCACACTGGATCCTGAGGCAAAAGAAATATACATCCGTATAGTACACTTACCCAAAAATGCTTCTATAGTTTGTGGAAGAGAGCGAGACTCCGTCTCTAAAAAAAAAAAAAAAAAAAAATGACTGTATATAAAGTTCCACATTGTCCAGTCTGTTCCCATGCCATTGTCAACTCTCATGACACTGTCTGGCCTGGCCAACCTTGGGCTGATTGGAATTCCTGTTGCACAATAACCCAGGGTCATAAAACAAATAACAGCAGCCTGTCTTCACCTAATTTTTTGATATTTTGTTCATTATAGTTTTTTTTTGCCCATAGTCTATAGATGAGAAATATTTAGGATCCAGGTGGTGAAAAATGGTAAACAGTTTGCATTTTGTATAGGGGTAATGGAGAAATGTTGAAAGGCTTTGAACATGGAAATAAAGGAATCAGATTTTTCTGGGTTAGAAATATCACTCTAGTTGCAGATTTGAGGGTAGATTTGGGATGTTAGATTTTCTCATAGAAACATCTGTATTTATAGTCACCAAAAATATCCCTTGGGGAATTGCTATTAACTTTATAAAAATGGTTCGCTATATAAAATCCTTGTAAATGAGAAATACATTTGTAAATATGTGCTGATTTGTG